CATGCAACAGTTATACAGTGTGCCCTGAATCACCTTCAGCAGTTTAGTTTGTCACACATGCAACAGTTATACAGTGTGCCCTGAATCACCTTCAGCGGTTTAGTTTGCACACATGCAACAGTTATACACTGTGCCCTGAATCACTTTCATCGGTTTAGTTTGCACACATCCAACAGTTATACAGTGTGCCCTGAATCACCTTCATCGGATTAGTTTGCACATTAAATTTTTTTTTTTAAATCTCTCTCTAGAGACATGCATGTATAACATTTTTAATTCATAAATTCTAGAAATAAAAAAAATTCTCTCTCTCCAATTAATCTCCATTTTTAGTCATTTCACTGTGATTTAACTTATTCAAAAGTTGATTGTCACTACTTCAGGGATGGATGTACAACTGTTGGTCTAGAAATCAAATTTCTCACTAAAAAAAAAAGGTACTTTCTCTCTGTTTTTAAACTAACAAAAAAGATACTTACAAAAAATAATGATACTGATAGTTGCAAAGATCGCTTATAAGTTTCCTCTGATGACACTGATAGTTGCAAAAATCACTTATAAGTTACCTCTGATGATGCTGATAGTTGCAAAAATCACTTATAAGTTACCTCTGATGATGCTGATAGTTGCAAAAATCACTTATAAATTACCTCTGATGAAGGACGCTACAATCTATACGACAAAACAAACTTTCCAAGTTCTTAAAAGCTAGTTAACGAACAACTGTTTTTAATAATTAAAAAAAAAGGAAAATCAACAGGTTTTAAAACAATTGAATAATACTTTCTTAGCACATGAGGTGTTGTTACTTTATAAATCATTAGAACATGAGGTGTTGTTACTTTATAAGTCATTAGAACATGAGGTGTTGTTAGTTTATAAATCATTAGAACATGAGGTGTTGTTACTTTATAAGTCAATCGAACATGAGGTGTTGTTAGTTTATAAATCATTAGAACATGAGGTGTTGTTACTTTATAAATCATTAGAACATGAGGTGTTGTTACTTTATAAATCATTAGCACATGAGGTGTTGTTACTTTATAAATCATTAGAACATGAGGTGTTGTTACTTTATAAATCATTAGAACATGAGGTGTTGTTCCTTTATATATCACACTCAATTTGAATGTAGGATTTATAAATTAGAGAACTCGCACAAACTGTTTATAATTTTAACTTACAAAATATGATACTTAAATGCTTTGTTTTCAATAATCACAAAACAACAATTATAAAGTCTACACTACTAATTTCTCTCTCTCTACATACACACACACCATGTGTGGATCTGTAACTTTTAAGGTAATCTATTCATCGACGGAAAAACTGAATATCTTAGATGTTACATTTCGCTACCACATAAAGTAAGTTCACGCAGTTCTAAGAAATATATCAACTCAAATCTATTTTACTTTTAATTAAACCAATCTTTCAGATATACATACCAAAGACCTTACACCTACAGCTACAAACAGTCTTTTGAAGACTGAATGTCCACTTCTGTCAAGAATCTTACTAAACCTAGTGTTTCTGAAATCCCATCACACATTACAGTAGTTTCGTTTAAACCATAGGCTTTTTACAGACATTTTTATAAACCACTTACACAAGTTGTTTCGTATTCAAATTAATCCCATTAACTACTGTTGAAGTACCCTCTATATATATATATATATATATTACATACAAAATGAACTACATCAGTTTGGCTAGTTCTTGAAACTCGGTGTTTTTACAGGTAAAAAAAACAGAACTGCTCAGTATCTTGTGAAACGTGAACAAAAATAGTATAAAAACGAAACACTAACTTAAGTATTAGAACCTCTGCTGATAACCAGTGTTTCCATTTAAAACTGTTACATAACAGAATACTTTTCCAACTTAGTGATTTGGTTTCATCATATTTACTGAACTTTATTTTAAAACTATAAAACGTCTTGGTCTGTATACAAACTTAAACCATACATTCACACAGTGTGTTATCAGACCATGATTCAAATTTTGGCTAGTAGCACAGTTTAACTCAACTCTTCACTAGTTGTACAGATGCTGACAACTAGTAGCACAGTTTAACTCAACTCTTCACTAGTTGTACAGTTGCTGAACAACTAGTAGCGCAGTTTAACTCAACTCTTCATTAGTTGTACAGATGCTGAACAACTAGTAGCACAGTTTAACTCAACTCTTCACTAGTTGTACAGTTGCTGAACAACTAGTAGCACAGTTTAACTCAACTCTTCACTAGTTGTACAGATGCTGAACAACTAGTAGCACAGTTTAACTCAACTCTTCACTAGTTGTACAGATGCTGAACAACTAGTAGCACAGTTTAACTCAACTCTTCACTAGTTGTACAGATGCTGAACAACTAAAACAAAGAAGTTATACTATTGATAAACTCTACCATGACATATTTAGAAATAAAAATACATATCTCAATAAAAAATCTGATAAACGTATATAAAAAAATTAAAGACGTTATTTCAACATATTACTTTACATGGATGTTAAGTTAGAAATTATAATATTGGCAACATTAAAAGTTTCTTTAACTGTTTTAACTGAATCCTGGGAGCACATCTGTGACATTATTTCAAAGTCCCCGATATAAAAATCTTTTTTTACCTTTCATTAGTCTGAAGAAATACGTTTTAAACAGTTTCCACTTAGCATAAGCTCACTGTTACAGCTGGCAAGTGTTGAATAGATCCCATCCATAAGCACCTTGCTGAAATTATATAAATACACACACAGACAGCACTGAAACTGTACATAATGTACAGAAAGGTTTCATTAAGAAACCAGTCCTTGTTTCTTTCGTTTAACCATTTCAGCAAGCACTTTGAACCTCAACACACATTCCTCCTGAAAGTGAAAAAAAAAAGATTATACTATTATAGAGCTTGTGTACTTACATTATTATACTTATATTATTATAGCATGTGTGAATCTATGCATTCAGATAAATTTTTAATGTTCATTACTTTTTTTAAAGGTTTAAAAACCATGAAAGAAGAAAATCAAGACAGTTTTTTAAAATCACAAAGGTACATCTTTTAGCCTCACAATCTTTATTCTTAATTTGGTCAAACCTTCACGTACAGTAATACTTTGATAAGATTATATTTGATAAACAAAGTTTCAGTATAACAAAGTTTACATAGATACCTAAAAAATAAAGTAAAATAATATATAGATACACTGAAATTAATAAATAAATAATATATTTATTGATCTACAGTAAAACATGAATAAAATTATAATAAAATATGGATTCTTAAGTGTCGAGATGTTCGTATATTTTGTTTGTTAACCTTCGTCTCGGTCGTCAGGTTTAGTGTGTTGGGCGGGATTCTTTACAGTAGGTGTCCGTGAAGCTGAAGAAGGCAAAAACAATCCACACTTCATTTCATCTAAAAACACTGTTCCTCTTCACCAGTGGAGGAAGGAGAGCCTCAACCTGGACCGTCATCCCTTCTCCCACTTATTTATGTCAGTTTTTAATTTTAACATGTGAACAAAACTCCAGTATATCGATGTGTTACTGTACTTAAACTTTACCACTTTCTCTTGAACCATTATAAGTCCTAAAAAGACAGTTTTCTAGATCCACACTTTCTCCAATATAGTCAAATCATACTAGTGATGAAATAAACACTTCATAAAATATCTTCATTATTCCATGGAATATTTTATTGGAGATTAGAAAATTACTTTCAATAAAGGTTCTTCACCACAAACTAGGTCCAGATTTAGCTTGAACACAGAATATCATGGATGGAATATCACAAATGAAGAAACTTCACCACAAACTGGCAGACCATAAAAACATGACCAGTACAAACAACATGAATGTTACTAAGTTTTACGGTGTAGTTGGAGTTTGATAAACACTAATCTTTCATCCTTCTGGTTCTTAATGTCATGACCATTAAAGTTACAGAAGTACTATAAGAAGTCAACACAGAATTTGGAAAACTTGAAATTGACATGATGCAATTTCAGTAGCCAAGAAACGTGTAGAATTAGAACAAACATTTCTGTTCTAATCATATTTTTGAGAGTTACTGTCTACACTCAGTGATAGAACCAGTAAATATTGATCAGGTAGTTATATTTATATATCTTTCACAGTTTCTAACCAATAGCATTCTTTTCAATAACTAATTCTAGGACTTAGGGCGTTTTTTTAACCCCCTGTATGAAGTTTGTGAATCAACTCCTGACCTGTTAAAATTGTTATAGTCCTCAAAACAGGAGATACTTACTTTGGTCTTTCCAGGAACAGACTTGGCTACCCTTTCCCATCTTTCTTCTGTACCTTTAGGAAACTGCTGAAGGGCTAGTTCTAGTGCCCTCTGTTGGTGCTGGCTCCAAGTATCTTCAAGATTTACTGAGCCACTGGGCAAGGTGTTGGAAATAGCTTCATCTTTTGTGGGTTTCTCGTGTATCTGTTGAGTAATCATTAGTGTTCGTTCCGCAGTTTTCTTTGGTTTGGCAGGTCGTCTCTGCCGAGGTCTTTCTTCCGAGTCTTCGTTACCATCCCACTCTGAAGGTAATGCTGGAACCGTATTATTGTCAGCATAACTGCCAGTTAAACCTGAGAATTACAAGTTTTTATTAAACTTAGAATAAAGATCTTGGTTCACGGAACAAATGGCTATTAGGTAAAGACTACCTAGACAAATAATACTTCAACATAACTTTTATATACGGAAACATCTGTTAGCTGAGTTCTTGCACAGATCTTAAAACATAAATGGAAACATCGGCTCATGTAGATACGTAGATCTTGAAAGTCGAGTTGTTCAAAACTTGAAAATAGCGTTGATAACTGGACCAATTATTGGTTCCATTTTTTTAAAGTTATATTTTAAGATCTGTGCAAGAACTAAGCTTACAGATGTTTCCGTATATCAAAGCTATCTTCAAGTTTTGTACAATGAAAAACCTTTTCAAATAATACTTCATATCCCTGAATAAATATCACTCTGCCAGAAAAGGTTTTTCTTTTGATAAAATTGTTTTGCATTCAGCGTTATCACATCCTTTTTTTTTTTTTTTT